AGAGTGGGCAGGAAGCCAGCAAAGCCCTCTCTAATGATAATAACCATGTGGATAGCTAAGAAAAGACAAGGGCATTTCATGTATAGGTAAAAGTGCAAGGATTCTGAGCTAGGAGTGTGCTTGCATTCTTGTGGAACAGCAGGGAAACAGTGTGGCTGGAGTGGACTGAGTAAGTAGAAAAATAACAGGGAATGACGGCAGACAGGATGCCAGGAGTCAGATCATATAGGACCTGTGGACTATGACAGAGGCTTGCTTTATTTATTTATTTAAAGATTTTTATTTATTTGAGAGAGAGAAAGAGTGAGCGTAAGCAAGGGGGAGTGGCAGGCAGAGGGAGAAGCAGACTCCCTGCTCAGCAGGGAGCCCAACAACTGGGCTCAATCCCAGGACTCTGAGATCATGACCGGAGTCAAAGGCAGATGCTTAACCAACTGAGCCACCCAGGCACCCAGAGGCTTGTTTTATTCTGAATGAGATGAATGAGATGGGAAACCAGGCTTTTGAAGGTGGTGTTTTAAAAACCTCACTCTGGCTGCTAGGTATAGAACAAACTACAGAAAGGGAGGCAGAGTGGAAATGCTAAGACTAGTTAAGAGGCTAGTATAATCATCCAGGCTGACATGCTTTGGGGTACCTGGGTGGCTCAGTTGTTAAGTGTCTGCCTTTGGCTCAGGTCATGGTCCCAGGGTCCTGGGATCAAGACCCGCATCAGGCTCCCTGCTCAGCGGGAAGCCTGCTTCTCCCTCTCCCACTCCCCCTGCTTGTGTTCCCCTGCTCCCCCTGCTCTCTCGCTGTGTCTCTCTCTTTCTGTTAAATAAACAAATAAATAAAATATTTAAAAAAAAAGTACAGCTGACATGCTTTGCAGATATGGAAGGCGGGGAAAAAAAACAATAAAGTATGATTCTGAAGTTTGGGGCCTGAGCACGTGGAAAATTGGAGCTACCACTTTCTGAGACAGAGAGACCTGGGAGAAGAGCAGATTAGGCAGGTTGGTGCAATGGGGGTGGATGAGGATGGAAACAAATATTTGGTTTTCATAAATATAAGTTTGAAATACCTAGTAGATGTCCAAGTGGAGATGTAGAAGGGGCAGGTAGATAAGGACGATATAATATCTCTTTATAAGAGATAAAAAATTGGGACTAGTCCCCATATAGACAATATATAAAGCCAGGTGAGTACATGATATTACTTAGGGAATAAAGGCAGAGAGAAAGGTAGTTTGAATAAAACCCTACATAACTCCATAACTAACTGGTCAGGAATGTGAGAAAGCAGTCATGTAGAAGAATCAAGAGAAAATGGGGTTTTACAAAGACCCCATCAAAAAGGAGAACTACAGACCGATATTTCTGATGAACATGGATGCAAAAATTCTCACCAAAATACTAGCCAATAGGTTCCAACAGTACTTTAAAAGGATTATTCACCATGACCAAGTGGGATTTATTCCTGGGCTGCAAGGTTGGTTCAACATCCACAAATCAAACAATGCGATACAACACATTAAAAAGAAAGAACAAGAACCATATGATCCTCTCAATAGATGCAGAAAAAGCATTTGACAAAGTACAGCATCCTTTCTTGACTAAAACTCTTCACAGTGCAGGGATAGAGGGCACATACCTCAATATCATAAAAGTCATCTATGAAAAACCCACAGTGAATATCATACTCAATGGGGGAAAAACTGAGAGCTTTCCCCCTAAGGTCAGGAACACGGCAGGGATGTCCACTATCACCACTGCTATTCAACATAGTATCAGAAGTCCTAGCCACAGCAATCAGACAACAAAAAGAAATCAAAGGCATCCAAATCGGCAAAGAAATGAAACTCTTGCTTTTTGCAGATGATATGATACTTTATGTGGAAAACCCAAAAGACTCCACCCCAAAACTGCTAGAACTCATACAGAAATTCAGTAAAGTGGCAGGATATAAAATCAATGCACAGAAATCAGTGGCATTTCTATACACCAACAACAAGACAGAAGAAAGAGAAATTAAGGAATCGATCCCATTTACAATTGCACCCAAAACCATAAGATACCTAGAAACAAATCTAACCAGAGGCAAAGATTCTGCACTCAGAAACCTATAGAATACTCATGAAAGAAATTGAGGAAGACACAAAGAAATGGAAAAACGTTCCATGCTCATGGATTGGAAAAACAAATATCGTGAAGATGTCAATGCTACCTAGAGCAATCGACACATTTAATGCAATCCCTATCAAAATACCATCCACTTTTTTCAAAGAAATGGAACAAATGATCCTAAAATTTGTATGGAACCAGAAAAGACCCCGAATAGCCAGAGGAATGTTGAGAAAGAAAAGCAAAGCTGGTGGCATCACAATTCCGGACTTCAAGCTCTATTACAAAGTCATACTCATCAAAACAGTATGGTACTGGCACAAAAAGAGACACACAGATCAATGGAACAGAATAGAGAGCCCAGAAATGGACCCTCAACTCTATGGTCAACTAATCTTCGACAAAGCAGGAAAGAATGTCCAATGGAAAAAGGACAGTCTCTTCAACAAATGGTGTTGGGAAAATCGGACAGCCACATGCAGAAGAATGAAACTGGACCATTTCCTTACACCACACACAAAAATAGACACAAAATGGTTGAAAGACCTAAATGTGAGATAGGAATCCATCAAAATCCTTGAGGAGAACACAGGCAGCAACCTCTTCGACCTCAGCCGCAGCAACTTCTTCCTAGAAACATCACCAAAGGCAAGGAAAGCAAGGGCAAAAATGAACTATTGGGACTTCAGCAAGATAAAAAACTTCATCAAGATTATATGTTAATTAAAAAAAAGAAAAAAAAAGAGAAAATGGGTTTTAGAAGTTCAGAAAATGTTTCAAGATGGAAGGAGTGACCAAATGGGCTCATGCTGCTGCTAAGTTGAGCAGGAAGAGACGTGAGAACTGGTCACTGGATTTGACCAAGATGGAGTTACTGGATATGAGTGGAGTGACTGGGGCAAAAGCCCAGCAAACACGAGTTCAAGGCAAAATGGAAGATGTAGAAAGAGTCAGAATAGACAACTCTTTCAAAGAGTTTTTCTTTAAAGGGAAGCAATAGCTAGAGGGGAATGTGGAATTATCTGAGTTTTTGTTTTAAGACTGAGAGAGAGATTTTTATCTGGGACGAATAGTTCAGTAAAGGAAATATTTGATGGTACATGATTAAGGAGAAAGAAGGGATAACTACAGAAATAAAGTCCTGGAGGGGGAAAGGACAGGATGAAACATACATGAGTAGTTTTTTTCTACTTTTCCAATTACCTGGCAAGAAGGGCAATAGGATCCACTGCATTGAGAAAGAAATTTTTGCAACAAAAGTATATAAATAAAGATTCAATCAGAACTATAAGTTTATGTGAATTGTTCATCAAGGACAGTAAAGGCTCATACCCTCCAAAGTTCTCTGATTCTTAATTAGCCTTTACTGAAAAAGATTTATGACATATTTTGATTCCTAAAAAATTCTTCATAATAAAGTAATTTCAGGACCATAAATATAAACACAAGCCTCTTTAATCCTCATGATTCTCCCTTCAGATCATTTAGAAATGAAATAAAGTGAAATAAATGGCTTAATATATAAACATATTTTCTTTTCCATCTTCTAAATATTTATACTCTTTTTTTCATATTTCTCTCATGTCTTATTATTAGCAGAAACGTTTATCACTAAGACTCTTAATATAAATCAGTATGGACCTAATTTTAGAAAAGACATCCTAGACTATTTTTATCAATGAATGGAAGCACTAGCTTAAAGTGGTCATTTTCATTCATATCCAATTTTAAATACAATATGGAAGAGAAGGATGCTTTTCGGGCTCCAGTATTTCCTTTATCCTGAATTTACACTGACTTTTTAGTCTATATGGGCTTTTTTTTTTTTAAGATTTTATTTATTTATTTGACAGAGAGAGACACACAGCGAGAGAGGGAACACAAGCAGAGGCAGTGGGAGAGGGAGAAGCAGGCTTCCCGCTGAGCAGGGAGCCCGATGCGGGGCACGATCCCAGGACCCCGGGATCATGACCTGAGCTGAAGGCAGACACTTAACGACTGAGCCACCCGGGCGCCCCTATATGGGCTTCTTATAGAAATAAAAAAAAAATCAAAGCTAATGCACCCAGATGATCTGAAAATAAGTAACCATAGTAACAAACAACTTCCAACAAACAACTCAATGCACTTGGAAAACCCAGGCGTGTTGTAACAAAAGAAACAGAAAGCGTGGTAGACAATTCTAATTACTGACTTCAGAGAGTAACACCAGATACTAATTAGACCTGAATTCTAGACTACCTGAATTAACAGGTGAAGAATGGAAAGTCGTCTTTCTAAACCAACAAGAAAATTTTGTACTGCTTTCTCCTTATGAGTTTTCAGGATACTAGTATAATACTTCCATTTTCTAATCTTTTTTCTTACTTAGCATTGTCCATTCATTGCTTCATGGTGCTTTTATCATACCCCAAATCCACTGAATTTGGGTGAAATTTAAGATAATTGCCAAGTTATAACCATAAGAGAAAAAAGGAGGGAGAGAACACTTAATAACCACCATCTTAATTACCCTGAAAAACAATTAAAAGAAAAAACCCATAAGGGAACAGTGATGTTAATGAACAGTATTATCCACATATGTTAATCAATGACTATGTTCTAAGCTTCTGAAATTCTAGCGGTATGCTTCCCCAGAAAAGTCTAGAAAATGAGTTTGATTTTTTAATTGCATTATAACTTCACTGAACTTCAATTTTCAAGCAGAAATGACAAAGGGCCTTGGTTACTCCTGAGAGAAAAGCAGACTAATTTTAACTGCACTTCTGTTTTTAGCTTAATAGCATTAATAAAAAGTGCTCATCAAAAAAAATATTATTTGTCTTATAATAACAATAGTTAGCTAAAAGATCACATTTTTGTAATTTATTGATTTTTTATTTGGCCAAAACAGCTTACCTGGTACAAAATACTCTGTTTGCATAAGCCAGTGAAATTCCAAATGAAATCCCAAGTGTATGGCTTTAAAGGTGACAAGGAAAATCAAATAGAGAACGGACACTGTGCCTGTGAGAAAAAATTCAGAAACCATTTATCATCTTTGCGTGTTTTACAGACTATTTTAAAATTAAGCTTTGTTTCTATATTCTCAGCACAGTTTGGAAAATTATTACTCTTGTTGATTATGCCCACTAAAACCCAGGTGGGATCTAAAGAATAGAAACAAGCTAATATGAGTTTTCAGAAAGCAAAATACTATGTAGTAGGCCTAAGAAGAACTAGATGAAAGTAGCTCATATATTGAAGAATGCGAAACTGTTTAATTTATTTAAGAGTTCAGTTAAGAGGAGGACACATGTAAAGAACTCATTACAAAATTGTAAGCTTATACAGGAGAAAAAAAAACACAACATGAAACTGACTCTTATTCTCTGTATTGGAAATATTAGAGATGGTGAATAAGCTGGAAAAGTCTGTCATAGCGATTACTATGTAACAAGAAAGTAAATAAAGAAAAGTAGTGAATGTGGATCATAAGACTATTTGAGAAAGGTGATAAGCCAAATAATCCATGAACAATCTGATCTAGTATCTAGAGAAGGGTCTGACTAGGGAATACTACCTGCTAGATGACAATATTACAGATTCCATTCATAGGTAATCATACACAGCATGAAGTGGGTATTCAGATTTTTTTAGTATTCTAGAAGTTGGAGAGTTTTCTTTTTAAAGAATTAAGTCCAGTCATTATGGAGTAGAGTCAAGAAATCCAAGTAGGTTTCTTTCTATAGGAATTAGATACTAATTTCTGTAAAGAAGCTATAGTTTTAAAAGAAAGGGAAAGTACCAAAAAAAAGGGGGGGGCAAAAGCAAAATATTCTTAAGGAGGTAGAGAATAATCAACTTGGTTACAAGTCTGGTGGTTGTTCTAGCAAATACTTTTACCAGTTTATATGCTAACTTTTAAAGATCTGTTCCATAGGAAAGTCGGCAAGCAAATCAGGAAACCACAAATGAGTTATATAAGCTGACTATGGGTTTGCAGATTAGCTGATTCAGAAACGATAAAAACAAGAGGACAAAGCTTATATAACCACAATGCTTGATTTTCTGTGTGTCTGCAGCAGTCTTGCAGAGAATCCTATTGTGAGGCAGAGAGGTATAGTGAAAACCCCCAAAACCAACTCCTTGATGTGATGAGTAATCTAATTATTTTATACTTTACACTTCCTACCAGGAGATCAGATATATAGGGAGGAGGTGTAACCCTATGTTTTATTTGGGGTAATCAATTTTTTATGAATGTTATCCTTATCTTTAGTTAACCAGATCTAAGTTTTTAATTGGGGTTCCTTTTGCCATCTTAAAGTTCAGTACTGCAAATGAAGATGGGATCAAAAACATTCCTTTAATGATGCAGAAATCTGTGAAATTTCTTTAGTGACTTCAGAAATTTCTGAAAAACTGGGCTCACAGTAAGAAGTCTGTTCTTTTAAGGAGGCAATAGTGTTCCAAAAAAGAAAAAGCACTGGAGAGCAAAAGCAGAATAAACTTCATTAGGTTGAGTTAGAGAAAGACACCCCAGGTTGAAAGCTAGGTGATAATTCTGTGCTATATTCTTAAATAGAAACTGTAGGAAAAAAAATTCCATAACCTCCCTTAGTAAATTCTTATGTTTCCAATCCTTAGTATTGGGAATCCCTGTTAATATACAGTTTGGATCTCTCCTCCTGAAATCTTAATGTGTTTCCTGTAGTTGTACCCACCAAAGAAATGAGGAACAGTGGTTCAGTAAGGATAGAATGGGAAATCTAATAACTCATATTTAAAAAAAAAAGAACTTGGACTTGAAATGGTCATCTACATTTTTCTCTGTGTCAAACTCCACAAAAAAAAACCAGAAAGCAAGGTAACATATGAATGAGCAAATTAAACATAGGTGAACAGGCCTGGTAGGTAACTTTCTCTAGCCAGATCATATTTCCACAGAATCCAGTGTGTACTCTATTACACAGAAGCTCCATGACACAGTGCCTCAGCTTACCTAGGATATTAAATTTTGAAAAAAATGAAGGAGATTTGAAATTGAGCAGTGGAAGGAGGAGCCCTATGAGGTAAAAGGGCACTGTCTTGGACTTATTCCACCACTTTTCAAACTGCTGGAGTCCCGTGTCATTGGCATAGAAAATCATAGAGCCATTGTCAGGATGGTCATCGCTCCCAGCACTTGGACAAATCACTGCAACAGAAAGCATCAGTCAGATTAGAGAAGACCACGAAGAATACAAAATGACTACCCCAGAGAATGACACTTGCTCTACCAAACTCAACTTGTATCATGAATAAGTTCTTGCTTTCTGAAATAGAGGGTTATATTTAAACACATTAGGAAACTTTTACTTACAAATAATTAAAGGTGGAAGAATCTTAGAAAATTCTGAAGTATATCCTTAATTTCTATGGGAGGTTATAAAATTATCCTACCAACTATCTTTTGGTTCCATTGCCAGAGAGAAAATTTTGGACTAAATGGTATTTGATCTTATTTAGACAATAATGTAAGAAATCCTCAGGATGATTGTTACCTTTGTGCTACTAACCCACACAAAGGCCAAACAACAGGTTTGTTTGTTTCTTTCTTTCTTTTTAGAAGGCCGGGAGGGCCAAAAGGAGAGGGAGAAAGATAATCTCACGCTGGCTCCACACCTAGTGCAGAGTCCGATGTGGGGCTCAGTCTCACAACCCTGAGATCATGAACTGAGTCCAAGTCAAGAGTCGGATGCCCAACTGTCTGAGCCACCCAGCCACCTCAGAACAGATTTCTTTTAACAATAAACAAAATCTATGGGTTTGGAATAAAAAGTGGACAGCATTGAAACAGATGACATGGTATTGCCAAAACCTAACTATTGCTTATAGCTTACGAATCTTGAATAATTCTCGTGAAAGTTTATCACATATTATAGCAGCCTAACAGCCTAGATGATATCCAGAGAACTGGGAATTGAGTAAAACATATTTTCCTAACAATGATCTTCAAGTGGCAATTTCTGCTGTTAGGAGAGAGGATACAAATCATTCTGTGTTTCTAATTTCATAATAGTACTTTTCCTAATAATCAGCCCTTTAAAAGGAACTCTTAATGCTGGTGAAAAATACTCCTAATAAGTAACAATCATTCTCATCACTAGTCAAAGAGAAAATGATATATTCATTTTAAGTTCTGTTTTTAATTTATTCTCTATCCATTATATATTTGGCATGCCACAAAGCCAAACACTTAATTTTCTTGCTTAGTCAGCATTTTAACATATACTTTTGTCTTCTATATCTGGACAGAAGTAAATTAACTTGAATTTTTCTTGTGCTAATAATTACAGTGGTAAAGAGCACAGGCTGTGGAAGTAAATTGACTAAATAATGAATCTTGACTCTGTCACTTAGTAGTTATGTAACCTTGGGCAAGTCATTAACTTCGCTGTGCATTGGTTTTTCTATCTAAGAAGTGAAGTGAACATTATCTACCTTACAGAGGTGCTGTAAAATGTTTAGAATAATGCCTGCACACAGCAAGTATCCAATAAAGGTCAGCTATAATTTTACATTAACTGAGATGGACTGTTTCATAGTATTTAACACATCATTCAAAGAGAAGAATGCAAAGTAAACTGTCTTTGCTGATGGTACTCTCCAAATCAACAGTGTAATCACGAAACTTATGAATATATTTTAAAATTATACCAAAATACGTTAATATAATGATTCAAAGGTGTGTGTGTGTGTCCGTGTGTCCACAGAAAAGCTGGTACTGCACTTACTCATTTGCTAGTGTTAACAAAACACAGGTCAATGAGTTTAATTAAGGAACAAAGTAAGACACTGAATAGTAAACATTGAAAGGTTTGCTTTAAGAAAGGAGAGACTTCTGTCTGTTCATTATATCCTCAGAGCCTAGAATAGATCCTGACGTATAAGAGGCTTAATAAATATATGTTGAGGGGCATCTGGGTGGTGCAGTTGGTTGAGCGGTCAAGTCTTGGTTTTGGAACGGGTTGTCATCTCAGGGTGGTGGGATGGAGACCCTCGTCGGGCTTGTGCTCAGCACAGGGTCTGCTTAAGACTCTCTGCCCCTCCCCCGGCAGTGTGCTTTCTCTCTCTTAAATAAATAAATCTTAAAAAATATATATATATAGAATGAATTTTCTCATTGATCAATGTGTTCCTCCATCAAAAGGATATCAATTTAGTATCTCTGAAATCTAAACACATAAATCTAAATACATAATGTAAAGATACATTAGTATTTCTGAAATCTAATACTCTAAAATCTAAATCATTAATACATAAAGCTTTAGGTGATGTTAAAGGTTAACAGCGTAACTGTTAAGAAGGTTACATTAGCTTTTGCTTTTTTTTTTTGTTAAAGATTTTATCTATGTATTTGAGAGAAAGAGAGAACAAGTGAGAGGGAGAGGCAGAGGGAGAAGCAGATGCCCTGCTGAGCAGGGAGCCCCACTTGGGGCTCTATCACAGGACCCTGAGATCATGACCCGAGCCGAAGGCAGACGCTTAACCGTCTGAGCCACCCAGGCACCCCTACATTAGCTTTTACATTCACTTTCCTCATGACTGCCATAGTGGATAAAACCACAAGCCACAAAGATTTATTTTTAACAAATTAATTGAAGGAAACTTTTCTAAGAAATTAAGATTTTCTTTTTTTGCCAGGGCTTCAATTTATCTTTCTGCATTTACTAACCTTCGTTCATTATTAGGAAATTATTTTACAGGATACAGATTTGTATATCTTAAATATTAGTAAATAATACAGTAAATGTCTAAAAAAGTTAACAACCTGAGAACTATGCTTCTAGACTTCCAAAACAATGAGCAAAGATACAAACTCTTAAAAATATGTATTGACTATTCATAGGGAAACATGGATTCTGTAGATGGAGCTACAGTTGTGAATTGTATAGTATGAACTCAATCTTGTTTAGCTCACATTAATACAACCTTTTATGGAGTTTTTTTTTTTGAAACACATTGGTTGTCATCAATTTAATAGTGGTTCAGTTAACATAATGGTAATGATGTTGCACTAATTATTTACCTAAAATAAAGCAATATGTTCTATCTTAAATTCCTTTTGAAGCAAAGTGGAAAATAAAAAAAACAAGCTAAACTTTAAATTTCAAACTTTACTCACCAGGGTTGCTATCATTGGTACTCAGTACAGCATCCGTGTCATTAATGTGATGAATAAAATCTAAAAATTAAAAGAAAAAATACAGTTTAATACCAAAATAAATATGCTAATTCAATCATCCCCTAAAATCTTTGATCTATAAAAATCTTTTAAGATCTACTGTGTGGTAATACTACCTAGTACACTGAACCAAGACCGCTTCATTGTTAAGAGCTTCACCATTTTCAGCTTCCTCTACTTACAGGAATGATGTCATTGGCTTCAGGGTTCCCACTATGGAAAATTTTTACATGATTGAAGATTTAAAGAAAAAAAAAATCTACCCACATGGCAGAATTTAGTTAAAGCCCTGGAATCAAGATAAAGCGTACAATTTTTTTCTTCTATTCACGCTAATTGATATAAGTATGGTTACTTCTTATATAAAGTTCTAAAGCCTGCAGAAGGGGAAAACCAACACTTATAACAGCAACACTTAGCTGGAGAATCACTTAAAGCTTTTACAAAGTATTATATATGCTTTTATAGACTGAAGATTATGTAGTAATTATTGCTCACATGTGCCACTAAGTTACACTAAAGGAAGTAGCAAAGTAAAAAGCATATGCAGAATGGGAGAAGATATGTGCAAGTGACATATCTGATAACAGGTTAGTATCCAAAATCTATCAAACTCAATACCTAAAAAACAAATAATCCAGTCAAGAAATGGGCAGGGCGCCTGGGTGGCTCAGTTGGTTAAGCGACTGCCTTTGGCTCAGGTCATGATCCTGGAGTCCCGGGATTAAGTCCCACATCGGGCTTCCTGCTCAGCAGGGAGTCTGCTTCTCCCTCTGACCCTCTTCCCTCTCATGCTCTCTATCTCTCATTCTCTCTCTCAAATAAATAAATAAAATCTTAAAAAAAAAAAGAAATGGGCAGAAGACATGAACAGACATTTTTCCAAAGAAGATATCCAGATGGCTAACAGACACATGGAAAGATGCTCCACATCACTCATCATCAGAGAAATACAAATCAAAACCACAATGGGATACCACCTCACACTGGTCAGAATGGCTAAAATTAACAACACAGGAAACAACAGAGGTTGGCCAGGATGTGGAGAAAGGCGAAGCCTCTTACACTGTTAGTGGGAATGCAAACTGGTGCAGCCACTCTAGAGAACAGTACGGAGGTTCCTCAAAAAGCTAAAAATAGAACTACCCTACAACCCAGCAATTGCACTACTAGGTATTTACCCAAAGGATACAAAAATACAGATTCTAAGGGGTACATGCACCCCAATGTTTATAGCAGCATTATCAACAATAGCCAAACCGTGGAAACAGCCTAAAGGTCCATTAACTGATGAGTGGAAAAAGAAGATGTGGTGTATACATACATACATACATATGTATGTATACATATTACTGGAATATTAGCCATCAAAAAGAATGACAGCTTGCCTTTTGCAATGATGTGGATGGAGCTAGAGTGTATTACGCCAAGCAAATTAAGTCAGTCAGAGAAAGACAAATGCCATATAATTTTTTACTTACCTGTGGAATTTAAAAAACAAAACAGATGAACATGGGGAAGGAAAAAAAAAGAGAGGAAAGCAACCCACAAGAGACTCTTAACAATAGGGAACAAACTGAGAGTTGATGGAGGGAGGTGGGTGGGGGATGGGTTAAATGGGTGATGGGTATTAAGGAGGACACTTGTTATGATGATCACCGGATGTTATATGTAAGTGATGAATCACTAAATTCTACTCCTGAAACCAATATTACACTATATGCTAACTAGAATTTAAATAAAAATTTGAAAAGAAAAACAAAGTATCTGGCTGCTTGAAATTAAAAAAAAAAAGCATATGCAGATATCTGAGCATTCAAATCATTCTATAGTTAATGAGAGAATGGGTAAGAATGTGTTTTCTTGTTAGACTGAAGTTATTCTGTTTGATGTTAATCTTTTATAACCTTGGTAACCCTTAAAAAAAGGGTTTAATGTGAAAGTTAAATGAGATGACAAAAAATGCTAGATTAGATTTTCAGGTCATAAAGTAAGTCAAGTATGTGAATTATTCACCTCCACTGTATGCTTCTCAAGATAAAAGCAGTAGAGTAGTGTTCTAGGTTTTTGTAGTACCTTCAAGGGTTATTAGTGATAAGATTGGAGGTGATCAATCTTTATCTATTTCCTGATGCCAAAGACTCAAATAAGGCTAGTAAAACCTTGACACCAAGTATGGTAGGGTGAATATTCTCCCCCCAAATCCATGTCCACAGGAACCTTAGAATGTGACCTTATTTGGAAATAGGGTCTTTATGGAAATAATCAAATTAAGATGAGGTCATACAGGTTAGGGCAGGCCCTAAATTCAATGACTTATATCTTTAATAAGGAAAGAAAGATGTGCACTAAGACACACTGAGGGGAGATGGCCATGTGAAGACAGGCAGAAATTGGGTGATGCAGCCACAAGCCAAGGAATGCCAAGGATTGCCAACAATCAATCATCAGAAGCTAGGAGGAGGCAGGGAAAGAGTTTTCTTCCCTAGTGACACTTCAATTTTGGACTTCTAGTCACCAGGACTGTAAGAGAATAAATTTCTCTTGTTTTAAGCCAAACAGTTTACGGTAATTTGTTACAGCAGCCCTAATATACCAAGGCTCAACAAGGACAGTATGAGAAAAACAAAACAAAACAAAACAGACTATAGGCTAATATCTCTTTTGAAAAGACACAAAGGTTCTAAATAAAATAGTAACCCCACTCCTCTCGAGAGTAAACTGAATCCAGTAAGATATTAAAAAAGAGACATCATGACTGCTAAACTAAGTTTATCTCAGAATATAAGAATGATTTAAATAAAAGTATATTCATATAATTTACCATATTAACAGTTTAAAGGAGAAAGATTGGGTTGCCTGGGTGGCTCAGTCAGTCAAGCAACTGACTCCTGGTTTCAGCTCAGGTCATGATCTCAGGGTAGTGAGATTGAGCCCCGTGTGGGGCTCTATGCTGGGCATGGAGCCTGCTTAGCGTTCTTTCTCTCCCTGTCCCTCTGCCCCACCCCACCCTGCTCACACTTTCTCTTTCTAAAAAAAAATAATAATAATAAAATAAAAGAGAAAAGATTTATGATCATCTCAAGGGATGTAGAGTATTAAGTGTCTGATAAAATACAGTACACATTAATAAAATTCTTCAGAAAATAATAGGCAGGAACATCTTTAAATTGCTAAAGGGTATAATCAATATCCCACAACAAACTTAACATTTAATGGGGAAAGATTTCCACAGGAACAATATAAGGATGTCTACCAGCACTGCATCTATATAACTTTATACTTTAAAAAAGATAAACATGTCTACATATAAACATGTATAAATTGTGTTTGTGTGTATATATGTGTGTGTATATATATATATAAATATAAGGGTATCTGTATACAAATATAAATGTATGTATATATATATGAATCACTTAAAAGTAATAACTGGACAGGAAGTTTTCATCACTCATGGAAATATAACTAAACATAAAATCCAAAGTGAATCTAAAAATTAGAATCAATAAGAGTTCAACACATCTGCTAGATTCAAGACAAAGGCTCCAAAACTTATTAGGTTATTTTATAATATCAACAAATAATTTGAATTTTTATAATTAAAAAGTATACCACTACTTTCTAGGAAGATGGAATGGTTTTGTTACATGGATATATTCATCAAAATCGCATGGCTAAGATTTATGTGTTTCGGGGCGCCTGGGTGGCTCAGTTGGTTAAGCGACTGCCTTCGGCTCAGGTCATGATCCTGGAGGTCCCGGGATCGAGTCCCGCATTGGACTCCCTGCTCAGTGGAGAGTCTGCTTCTCCTTCTCACCCTCCTACCTCTCATGCGCTCTGTCTCTCATTCTCTCTCTCAAATAAATAAAATCTTTAAAAAAAAAAAAAAGAAAAAAGATTTATGTGTTTCTATGAATGTATATTCTATCTAAAAAAGAGAACTGTATATATAATAATAGTTAACTGAGGCGGGGAGTGGGTATAAGCATAGATCATGTTTTTTCAATGGATAAGATAATGACCCCAATCGGGGGAAAAATCTGTGCCTAAGAGGACAAAAAAAAATCCCTTATTCTTTTTACATATAAAGCACAAATACACACAGAGTTCATAAATGGATAAAAGTATATCTATGATATTAAAACAAACTGAATCAACTATATTTTCTAGAATTACAAATGACTTTTTGCTTTATTTATCTCAAGTCCAGAATTTAAGGCTGAAACTAAAACACTGCAGAGTTACTGTATCTAAAAGTAACTACTGTTAAAGCATATGATATGGATACTTACTAAAAATAAACCTTCCAGTATTAAAAAGAAAATTAGACATAAGCACCCAATAAACTATCATTGCTCCAATGAGAGATACCAAGGAGAAAAGGAGACTCGACCACTGTCCAAAGGAGCCAAAGTAGTATCTGCAGACATCTGGATATTCCCAGGTAGTGGTATCCACTGATGCTAGATAAAAATAAGAGAAAGAATAAAATTAGATGTTACTCATATAATCCCATAATCATAATCATAATTGTGTTCCCCCAATTAGCTCAAAATATTTAGCAAAATATTAAGAATATTCCACCACCAGATATTAGACCAGAGAATGACATAACAGAAATTAAAACATTATAAACACATAAAAAGAAATGTAGGTCAACAAAACAGTACAGATAATAAAAGAAACAGATTATAGTATAGTATTTTGTAATTAATAACAACAAACAATAAATCAAGGCTAAGCAAATCATGAGTAAGAGTCAGATGATATTATCCAATAATATTTGGCATACTTAAATAACCTATGGAGGAAAGTTTCCTGAGTCATACTTTATACCACATGCCAATTTCAGACAACTGAGCTAAGAATTCAAAAATTAAATAACAGAAAAGTTAGACGACAATATAAAAATACACTTTGAAGGGTTATTCTTTTCTATCAAATGAAGAAACAGAAATTACAGTGGAAAAGATAGGTAGATATAAACAAACTTATATAATACAAAAGCCATTCAAATGTTGAATGGAAAAGAAAATTGACAAGAAATAATGGATAAAGGGCTAATGCCTACATCATACAAAGAACTTAGCAGATCTATAAGAGCACCAAGGGACTTGAGGATAAATGGGAAAGAGATAAGAATAATACAATTAAGAGAAAATATACCATTGCTTAATAGAGACCAAAAAAAAAAAAAAATTGAAGACAAAGCCTGGTCTCTTGATTCAAAATTGCTAAGATTCACTGAAATAATGTAGGTCTATTTAGGTCCTAAATTACTTTAAAACAATCTAAAAAGGTATTTCCCTGATGCAGAATTTGTAGAGATGAGTAGAGGCAATGTATTACTAAGCTTTGTGAATTCACACATTCATATTTTTATATTTTTCTGTTACATTTTCTACTTTTAGGACATTTAGATCTCTTGGTAGAGGACAGATCAAAAGTCACACCATTAACTGACAAGAATCATAGAATTTTCTTTTCTTTTTTTTTTAAAGATTTATTCATTTGAGAGCGAGTGAGTGCAGGGGGAGGGGCACAGGGAGAGGGAGAGGGAGAGAGACAATCCTCCAGCTGACTCCCTGCTGAGCGAGGAGCCTGATGTAGGGCTGGATCCCAGGACCCTGATATCATGACCTGAGCTGAAATCAAGATCCGACACTTAACTGACCAACCCACCCAGGCACCCCAGAATCACAGAATTTTCAATTTAGTTCTGAAAAAGACTTTATTTTAAAAATATGACCTTAATACTTTTTCTTATAAGGAAATTAGCATCAAAGTAAATGCATTCTGCAAAGAACTACAAACCTCTCTGAATTTCAAAGGTAGTCACTAATTCATTGATTTATCAGTTCAGCTGAATGCTATGAATTAGAGAATTAAATCTTTAGGCACAAAATAGTTAACACACATGTGGAATGTACACATTGGTGATATACTTCAACAGGATATACTTATTAATACCCAAACTGCTATTCTATTTTCACCATGGCAAACTCTTACATATCATAGCTCGTGATTTCACTACTCTGTAGCAGCAATAAAGTGTTAAAATGCCCATCAGCACGATGACACACATTCCAGTAGTAAATCCAGCCTGTTTAAAAATACAAACATAAAACAACATATATCATCATGTTAGAATAAATTCATATGCAACCATATTGTTACCGTACCCTAAACAATTATGATAAAAACCTGATGATATAAATTAAATATAATTATCTATTTTCTTTAATAAATGTTGTATAGATTTATTAAAACCTCTATTGTAAAACTTACAATATAAAGAGAAAAAAATTGAGGCAAAAAGTGTGAAAAAGCTGAAAAATTATATTACCTGTTTTATGCCCCAAGGAATACTTAATATAGATGTTCCCATCATGGTATTCCAAATCATAAAACTGAAAACACAGAATAGTAGCAGTAAAAATATGGAGCTTGACTCTTTAAACATTTTAATTAAGACAAAAATTAAAATAACCATGAATTTTCATTTACATATAGTTTAAGTTATGCTCCAAAAAGAAGTTTTACTCACATGGTTACTAAACTGGTGTTTTTGCCATATCCTTCAGTGTAACTTTGCAGTTTATAAGCGGAACCCAATGGACTATATACATAGCACTCTTCTGGAGCTGGAACTACATGATCTGGGGCAATCTAGTAAAAGAAGAAATGTTATAAGAGAAATGTTACAACCAGTAAATGTGTAAAGTAGGATATTTTCTAGATATCAGAGTACCTGACTCTAGACACAATTCTAAATATCATGAACAAACAAACAGCACATATCCCTGATTAATGAATATAAAAAACCCTTTCCAAATGTAGTAGAAAATCTAAAGGACCAAGAGTTTAAAGAATAAGAGCAATAAAATGTTCATGTGAAATGACAATGAATTCCTAAAATATGCAACTATCAAAATATTTTTCTCTTCATTTTCATGAGAAAGAAAGAAGAGTCAGCAAAGAGTGAGATTAAAGAATTCTAGATGGAGGAAATCTGGGTCTTACGTGAGGGGAATTTCAAGAATCAAGTGGCCACTGAACTCCTCTGTGAGGGTGGTTTTAGCAAAGAGGTAGGGAACTCAAACTATAAAGAAATGACACATCAATACAAGGTAAAGAAAGGAGATATATACTCAAAAGCATTTAAAAAGCAGAAGTAAAAAGTGAGCTAACATAGCCTAAGGAAAGGCAAAGCAAGGATTGGTAAGGATGGAATATATAAGCAAAAGGATAGGAACCAAGAGAGGCTGAAGACACACAAAATGACTGAACAGATACATTTTCTTATACACATAGCTCTCACCTTACCTCCTATACATATCTTCTGAATTCTACCTCCCTAGAGAGGGGAAAAAAATTAGTCTCCAGATAGAATTCTGCCCATCTCCCTGAGAACAGTCCTTTGGAATACGTAGTAGTCCCATATATAGTAGTATAGTAGTTAAAAACATAGGAGCTGACTGGTATAAATCAACGATCTTTTCTCTTTTTTAAAGATTTTCTTCTTTCTTTTTCTTTCTTTCTTTCCCATGCGAGTGGGGGGGAGAGGCAGAGGGAGAAGGAGAGAATCTCAAGGAGACTCCATGCTGAGCACAGAGCCCCCCATGAGGCTCCATCTCACGACCCTGAGTTCATGACCTAAGCCAAAACCAAGTAGGACATTTAACTGACTGAACCTCTTTTTTTCTAAGTAGCCTCCACGCTCAGCATGCAGCCCAGTGCAGAGCTTGAATTCATGACCCTGAGATTAAGACTTGAGCTGAGATGAAAAGTTGGAGTCTTAAGGGACTGAACCACACAGGCGTCCTTCAACTATCTTTTATATTTAGCACCTACTATGTAAATCTACAACTTGGTGCTAGGTTTAGTGTTCAAGAAAAAAAAAATACAGTCCACAACTTTAAGAAGCTTAAATTCCATCTGGAAGACATATGAAGAAATTAGATACGGCTAGAAGAGAGAAAAAAATTGTGAGATACTGTACTGCAGGAATGACAAAAAATTAACAGGGACTAGAATAGTTAGGGAAGATTATCTATATAAATAGGAAGTGATGGAACATTGAACCTCAGTAGGTAGACAGGATATGGACTGGTATAAAAAGAAAGTGTTGAGTCCTTCTTTATGCATATAATGCATATAACTGGTGGTAGCTTGTGGGTAAAAAATGTTTTGAATGCTATGCCTTGTGTGGCTTTGGAAACAACTATTTCTGAGAGATAAAAAGGCATATATAGAAATGGGTCTGCTGCCTTCTCTTTTATCCTTAATCCTCCTGGGTCTGACTTATATTATCTTCTTCAAGGGAGTAAAAAGAAAAAAGCGAAAGGACCATGTCTGCATCAGGCAGAGATAAACCATGATGGCTAGCAAAGTTCAGAAAAAGTGAAAATTGAAAGTTACAGGAGGCAGGATTAGAAGCTAGAGGGTAAGAAGTTGCAAATTCTAGAGAGTTACAGACAAAATGGAGAATTGGATTCCATACTTTGGCAATAATATAGGGCAGTGTTTTTCTTTCTTTTCTTTTCTTTTTTTCTTTCGTTCTTTCTTTCTTTCCTTCCCTCTTTCTTTTTTTTAAAGATTTTATATATTTATTTGAAATAGAGAAAGCAAGAGAGCGAGCATGAATGGGTGTGAGGGGTTGTAGAGGAAGAGGGAGAAGCAGACTCCCTGCTAAGCGGAGAGCCTGATGAGCCATCCAGCACCCAGGCGTAGGGCAGTGCTTTTCAAACTTAAATTTTCCCGTGACTGACACAGGGATGTTGTTAAATACAGATTATGATTCAGTAGGTCTCGAGTAAGGACTGAGACTCTGCATTTTTAGTAAGTTTTCAGTGATGCCAATATTGCTGGCCTGTGCAGGCCACATTTTTGTTAACAAGGATCTAGGAGATGTTGGCAGTCAAATGATTTTCTTCCCTTCCCCATTTTATAATAAAAATATTAAGATAAATGAGGAAATTTTCAGAAATAAAAAGGCACAACTCCGTAAAATCCTGAGACATGTGGTTTCACACTGTTCTTCCCTTAAACACCTTTTAAGAAAAATAAATTTGTAATTCTCAAGAAATGAGCCTGGATGTATACATACATTCATTAAAAATGGTCATGTCTTGGGGTGCCTGGGTGGCTCAGTTGGTTAAGCGTCTGCCTTTGGCTCAGGTCATGATCTCAGGGTCCTGGGATCGAGCCCCACATTGGGCTCTCTGCTTGGCGGGGAGCCTGCTTCCCCCTCTCTCTCTGCCTGCCTCTCTGCCTACTTGTGATCTCTATCTCTCTGTCAAATAAAAAAAAATGGTCATGTCTTAGTGTTAATTCTAGATCACTATTTATATACTTTTACTAGAGTCATCTCACTGTCTGTTAACAAAAGGTATTCAACTTGGTGTACAATGTTGACTTAATTTCCAGGCAAACAATGTCCATTCAGGACTAGACTGGCCCAGCTGGTATCTCTGAAGTTTGCTTCCACAAGTAGAGCCTCTAGAAGTCTGAATTAGACCCAGAAACATTGGATTACTTCTACTCCACAGAGGGCTTAGATAATTGTTATGGAACTAAGACTTTACTACAAGTACTGATATAAAGGCCTAGGGGAGGAAATAATGAAAACATTGGGGAAAAAAAATGACCAGAATATTTTGGAAGTCATTACTCTGGTTATACAAAAGGAGATCTTAATACTTCACAAGACTTTAAGTGAGATATCTATGTTCAAATGATACCCCACTCCTTGTCTCTCCCTCAGTAAACATCTAAAGAGTATTGGTTCCCTTCTCCTTTTTTTATTATTATCAATAAAAATATCATTTTTCCTCCCAGAATGTTTCCATTTTTCCTTAAGCTTTCAAGTTTCTGCATCTCTCATATGTGATGATTCTTATAAAGCAACCAAATTACTTCCTATATTTTTGATCCTAAAATAATAATACAGATTTTAGAAGGTCAAAAGTCAACAACTATGGCCCATGGTCAAATCTGGCCTTCGACCTATTATTTTACAGCCTCTTTGCTAAGAATGGTTTTTATGTTTGTAACAATCATAAAACAGTAGTGGGGGTGCCTGGGTGGCTCACTCAGTTAAGTGTCTGCCTTCAGTTCAGGTCATGATCCTAGGGTCCTGGGATCCAGCCCCGAATCGGGCTCCTTGCTTGGCGGGGAGCCTGCTTCTCCCTCTCCCTCTGCCCCTCACTCGTGCTTGCTCTCTCTCTCTGGTGCTCTCTCTCTCTCTCTCTCTCTCTCTCAAATAAATGAAATCTTAAAAAAATACACAACCAAAAGTGAAGAAGACTATGCAATGGTATATGGCCCACAAAGCCTAAAATGTTTAGAATCTGCTCTTTGACCCTTGTTTTTGATCTATAAAAGGACATTACTAAATAGCAATATTATATGTGTTTGTATGTATTTCAATTTCCCACTCCTGTAGAAAACGTCTAAAAACTTTTTTCCCTTGTAGCTTCAAACTTAATAACTGAACAGATTAATCAGATCTGTTATTATTTATGTTCTTTATCAATGACCTACTAAAGTACTTCAGTAATTTATACTCCTCAGAGCTCTTAGGATTGGGGACTAGCAGAATTCAATCCAACAAATCTTTTAGGCTACTGTCAACATAGAGAGATTATTTCAAATCTCTATGTCATGCTAGATAAGGCTGAGCTAGCCTGAGATGTAAGATGTGTACTAATTACTATCTTGATTTTCCATGATGCCATCCTTGGAATAAAAAGTTCACCCACTGGGAGTTTCCCTTGCTTATGCTGTTCACTGTTCATTTCAACTTAACCTTAGACAATTAGCAATGTTTGCCCCTTACCAGTGCCTTGTCTGCAGGAGCGGTGAGCCGGCTGTAGTAATGAATCCTCTTGTTCATGGCAGAGGCATGGTCGCTAACCCTCTGAATGACATCATTCACATTGATGATGTTTGTGGGCTCTATATAGAAAGGCCTAGAGAAGGGAATATACACTTGACAAAGAACATTCAGCCAGAAATTCTGGAAGTCAGCCATTGAAGAAAATAACTTCTTGTCCTCCATTAGAAATGGGATGTACCAAGGCAAGGCATTCAGTTCTCACTTTTGGTGGGAAAAGAAAATATCACAAAAGAAGTATTATCCAATCCAAAGACTAAAGCTTTTGTCTCATAATACTATTATAAATACACTTTTTTAATCTTTAGGAATTTAGCAATAGGAGATATAACAGAAAGAGTTTCAGTCAGTTATTAAAAAGAAGTATAGCAGCTGTCAGTTTTCAACAATGAAATTTAGACCCACACAGCTTTGAATATCCTCTCAAAAAGCTTCTGGCACTAAATCAAAGAAATTATTGTCATAAATGTTCCTCTACTAAAGAGGAACTACTCTCTTCTACTAAAAGAGTCTCCACTCCTTCTTTATGGGCCTAAATTACTTCCTATGACAAATAAAATATCTACTGCTTGGTTCATGTACTAAAGATTAGTAATCTCAACCATACCCCTTGTGAAACTTGTCTGAAGTCCTATCAAATGGAACATCAAGACACTAGCGATATTTTGCCTCATTCTACTGTATTTGGACTTCAGTAACAAATCCTATTATGCTAATATTTATGTGTATGCTTCTTTCCCATAACTATATCCCAATCAACTGCAGATCTGGTTTTCAATCATCATTTTCAATTACTAACCCTCCCAGTTCATTACCAAAACTCCCTCCATTTGCTTCTAAACTTCCAGTAATATGATCCAAAACAGAAAAACCATGAAAAGGACTGCCTTTCTCCACTGATTCTCAAATCTCTCAAAGTCACAAATGATATTGTGCCCCAAACTGCATATGCTATGCCCCAAATTACATATAATATGCTATTTTCAAAATACACATAGATCCAAATAATGAAGGAAAAAAACCCTCAGATTTCTCTGGTTCCATATAACTCTTCTACACAATGGGGTGCCTGGGTGGCTCAGTTGTTAAGCGTCTGCCTTTGGCTCAGGTCATGATCCTGGGGTCCTGGGATCGAGCCCCGCATCGGGCTACGTGCTCAGTGGGAAGCCTGCTTCTCCTTCTCCCACTCCCCCTGCTTGTGTTCCCTCTCTCACTGTGACTCTGTCAAATAAAAAACAAAAAACAAACAAACAAAACAAAGTCTTCTACACTTACAGTTCTGAAAGAAGCTTAAAATGTATGTTAGTCATAAGCTGTAATCATCAAGATAGTATGGTACTGGCATAAAAACAGACACATAGATCAATGGAACAGAACAGAGGACCCAGAAATGGACCCTCAATTCTATGGTCAACTAATTTTCGACAAAGCAGAAAAGAATATCCAATGGAAAACAGACAGTCTCTTCAACAAATGGTATGGGAAAAATTGGATAGTCACATGTAGAGAAATGAAACTGGACCACTTTCTTATACCATACACAAAGATAAACTCAAAATCGATGAATGACCTAAATGTGAGACAGGAATCCATCAAAATCCTAGAGATCACAGGCAGCAACCTCTTTGACCTCGGCCACAGCAACTTCTTGCTAGACATGTCTCCAAAGGCAAGGGAAACAAAGACAAAAATGAACTATTGGGACTTCATCAAGATAAAAAGCTTTTGCACAGCAAAGAAACAGTCAACAAAACTAGAGGGAACCTATGGAATGGGAGAAAATATCTGCAAATGTCTTACCAGATAAAGGGCTAGTATCCAAAATCTATAAAGAACTTATTAAACTTACACCCAAAAACCAAAAAATTCAATCAAGAAATGGGCAAAAGACATGAACAGACGTTTCTCCAAAAGAACACATACAAATGGCCAACAGACACATGAAAAAATGCTCAACATCACCCGGCCTCAGGGAAATACAAATCAAAACCATAATGAGATAACACTGCATACCAGTCAGAATGGCTAAAATTAACAACTCAGGAAACAACAGATGTTGGTGAGGATGCGGAGAAAGAGGAACCCTCTTACACTGTTGGGAATGCAAAGTGGTGCAGCCCCTCTAGAAGATAGCATGGAGGTTCCTCAAAAAGTTAAAAATAGAACTACCCTATGACCCAGCAATTGCACTATTAGGTACTTATCCAAAGGATACAAACACAGTGATTTGAAGGGGCACATGTACCCCAATGTTTATAGTAGCAATGTCCACAATAGCCAAACTATGGAAAGAGCCCAGACATCCATTGAAAGATAAATGAATAAAGAAGATGTGGTATATATCTACAATGCAATATTACTCAGTCATCAAAAAGAATGAAATCTTGCCATTTGCAATGAAGTGGATGGAACTAGAGGGTATTATATTAAGCGAACTAAGTCAGAGAAAGACAAATATATGATTTCACTCATATGTGGAATTTAAAACAGATGAGCAGAGGGGAAGGGAAGGAAAAATAAGACAAGAACAGAGACGGAGACAAACCAGAGAGACTCTTAATTATGGGAAACAAACTGAGGGTTCCTGGAAGGGAGGGGGTGGGGGGTGGGTTAAGTGGGTGATGGGCATTAAGGAAGGCACTTGATGGAATGAGCCCTGGGTGTTATATACAACTGATGAATCACTAAATTCTACCTCTGAAACTAATAATATACTATATGTTAATTAAACTGAATTTAAACTACATTTGTTAGTCATTTCTGGAGACAATCTAATTTTGTGGAAGTACTTGAAAAACCAAGTGACTGAAATTTTAGTTTCTGCTATTTTTTTTAACTACTAGACATTAGAGAAATGATAGTACAGATGTTAAATTTAATCCTGTCTCTCTAGTTAGTATACAGAATCTTGGAATCTTTCTTTTGCTATTTATTCTCCACCACAGCACCTAAATAGGATGGGTACTTTCCAGTTCAATCCAACATATATCTTAAAGTTGAGCACTTACTAGAGCAAATATGTGGCTATAGAGATCAACATGACAGTCTACCTCTACTAAGCATATCATTACCAAGTGAAGTAAGGGATGTCAATAAATCTGAAGGTGATATAAAGAAAACAAGAGCATCAGAGGCTGAATAAACTATCCCTACTTATAAATTTGGTAGCCTTAGATAACTACCAACCCTCCCAAAGCATTATTATAGTGTTCTATATAAATTGTGTATCTACTGTGACAGCAGTACTAAAAAGCAGTGTAAAAATATTTATGTCCAGGAGAAAGTTTAATCATACCTGGTTTCACAATCTACAAAGCATTCATTTCTTTTTTTGCAAGAATAATACCCCACAAAATTCAAGAAAGAATTACAGCTTTAAGGCCAACATAAAACAGAGATTGTAATTAATCAAGGATTACTAAAAGAGACTAACAAGTATATTAATAGAGAAATGTAGATGTTCTACTTGTAGCTTTTTACTCTGAAAATCCAACGGTATTAATATCAACCACTAAGTTGGCTTGAAGGCTTGCTGAAAAGCAGTCCAGGAAGTGCTACATTTTTTGGCTCCTGGCCTCTAACAGAAGTGTTAACTGTACCAGTTTAGTTGGCTTGGGTACTATGAGAGCAGAATGACTCTGAAAGTTTTTCTTTTCCAACAGTTTTCATCGAGATGCTGAGTGCCTGTTCAAACAAATATTTTGGAATCTTTTCAAAACAGATTCTCTTAAAAAATATCCAACTCAGCATATTTTAACTAAATTATTAGAAACATACGCTTAAGGCTCCATCTGAGAGAGCAAAAAATATAAATTACCTTTCTAAACTGAACTTCAGTTGGTTCTGAAAACACTTTTAAAATTAATAGTATACAGAAAACAGTATTAAGAGTAAAATACTTTTGAAACTTGGGCTTTTTCTTTTGAACATGGTTTCACATGATTGCTCCCTATCAGTGTTACTTCCCAAATGAGATGTAGCTCAACTGTGCCAAAGTAAAAATAAATTATGATATTTCATGTAGAAATTATATTTGTTTTACCTTATAAATATGTATGGTCATGCTACAGAAGAAAATGCTTTTAACATTTAGCAAAATTTTTAAAATATTTAAAAATGTGATTCAAAATCCCATATTTTCATTTAATACCCTTATAAACAGAAGAACGTTATTTCTACCTCACACCTTTTCTAGGTTCCACTCCTTAAATTCCTTAAGCATTTTTGGCTTTTAAATTTGTTTCCACCCTTCTACTGACCAGTTATGCGTCTCTGAAGTTTAGCAATAATCCCATGACTCTTAAGGTCCATACTCAATAATGAAGACCTATGACTTAAAGCTGTTCTTTTATTCACATCTCTATGAAAGCTGAAGCACTTCAACAGGTGCTGGACTTGGGTAGGTTGTTAAAAAATGAAAAGGGAATCAAGTATTCAAAAATCTCAAGCAAAATAAACATCCAAAATAATGAATCCACTGTACATGTCTCTTCCTGCTTGGTAAAACACTATGTCTGACACGCAGCTTTTTAATAAAGACAGAAAAGGAGTTAATCAAGTCACTGTACCTAGAAATTCCTTGCTGCTATAATAAAAATACTGGTGACCTGTAGCTTGCTAATGTGTTTATCACTTCCTCTGATGCTTATACAACATCTTTTTCCACAAAAACCCTGCTCTACCCTCCAATTTCACTCATTATTATCAAAGGCTGAGCCTAAGATTTTCTCTATTATGGTTAATTAATTTGTACTGGTTCTCAAATTTATTAAAAAGTATTTTAAGTGCCAAGCAAGTATGAAGCATAGTTCTAAACATTTAACAATGAATAAGACATAAAACCTGAAGGATCATAATCTGCTGGAGGAGATAGGTAAGCAATTCCAATCCAGAGGGAAAAATACAGAGAGAGTGAGTACTTATGAGCAACAGTGGGAGCAAGAAAGAGTGGACAGAGTTGTGTGGTACTAGGTATGTACAGTGTACTATGTGATCAAATAGAAGGAGAAGCTAAACAATGTCTGACAGATCACTGAGGAAGTTACAGCTGAGGTGAATCCTAAAAGATACAGAGTTCGTCAGATATGGGAAAAAGTAAAGAAATAGTGTTTCCAAAAAATATATAAAAGCATGTAGAAATAACCAGGAGAGAGAGCATGATGTATTTTTGAAAACTCTAAGTAGCAGGAAGAAAAGGGGTAAGA